CAAGAAGAGGTTTCATAAACAAATGCTGACTGGAGAGAAAAGTAAATTGCTGTATTCAACATGATACCATTTATGTCAAGTACAAATCTTATAAAACTAACAGTAGATATGTGCAATAAACCTCTCAGGAAAACAAGGGAATTATTTGCATAAAACTCAGAGTAACAGCCCATGCAACAGAAGAAACCAGAAGTATAAGATCAAGAAAGGTGTGTCGGGGACTTTCTTGATTTTATTTCTTAGAATGTCTGGATATTAGGCATATACATCTACACATACAGGTGTTCATTTTATTATTTGTTATAACTTATTCATTATCATTCATTATTCATTATCTTATTCATTATGTTTATCTATCTATCTGTCTATCTATCTATCTATCTATCTATCTACCTACCTATCTATCTGTCTCTTTTGAAGGGATAATTAATAAGTTACCAAAAGAGATCTGAAGCATATAAAACAAATTGCAAGGAAAGCAAGACAATGGGCAATTGGCAATTGTATAGACGGAACTCCACAGATCCTCTGGAAACCAAAGAACAGTGAAGGAATCAGCCTTACATCAGGATGGGGTCACTTTTCTGGGGTCAAGATTTGATTTATGTTCTCATGCTGGCTGTTTCTCCAATGCTGTCTTTTTCTATAACTGCCTTTGCTCACAATAGCTCCTCCATCTGCAGTGCCATTCCTTTAGCTTTGCTTGTCTGAAGTGTGTCCTTAAGTATCAGATCAAATTTTACTTTCTTGTATTTATTTTCTACTTACAGAAAGCCTACTACATGCCAGACCTGGAGCAGCCAAGAGTTAAAAAGCTGTGGTCCCCAGGCTTGCAGAGATGGCAGGGGAACAGGGGAGCAGACAAAGGAGCAGAGAATCACACTATAGCAGTGCCTTTCTGAATTGCTGGCACATAAAAGTCAGCTGTGGAGCTGTTAAAAAGCAGATTCTCAGGTGTCCCTGGCAATTCTGGTAGACTAGGTCTGGGTGGGGTACATTAACTTGCTCTTAAGAAACTCTCCCTGAATTTGATACAGCTGGTCCACAGACCTCACTTGGAGAAACGGCCTGTTGGTGTGATAAATGCTGCAATAATTGCAAAGGTACTTGGGCATGGGAGCCCCAAAGAGGGCCACCTCTCCCACCTGAAGCATGGACATTAAGTCAGAGTAGCTTCCAGGAGGCCTCTCTGTAGAGCATCCTCATTTGTTATTTGTAGATATGAGTCAACTCCCCCCACTGCAGGGAACACTGTTCCCTGGTTTACCTTTGCTCCAGCACAAGGCTTGGCATGCAGTATATGTCAGGAATGTTTTATTCAATGGGATTTCAGAGCAGCAGGCTGGACTAGGGAGCAGGCCTAGTAGCCAGGCCTTGGGCGGCAGCAAACCCTAGGAACCATCAACTTCTTGATCTCTCTGGTGTGTTTAGATTGGCCTGTCTCCAACTATGTGTTGGGGACTAGGGAAGGTTACTGGTTTGGGTCTGACTGGTATTCACATGTGAGCTGGGGACTAGGATAGCATCTACAACCAAGTTGAGATTAAGGAGACAAGATTGATTGAGACATTTCCCCACCAACGACCCTATAACTTCTTAGCAATCAGCTTTATCTGTGCTAGAAGGAGGAAAGGGATGAAGGCCGGATGGGGCAAGAGGTTTCTTATGTTGGCAATAGGGCTGCTTCCTGCTTCTAGCCCCTACTTCCCTTCCCTTTTCTAGGCCCAAATGAGGCCCCTCTCTGAGGGCATGTTAGTTAAACACCTGGCATGAGTCCAGTCCTGCCAGGGACTGCCTGGCTGCTGTTTGTTCCCTTTTATTAAGCACATCCAGGTGAGTTTTATTGCGGACAGTTCCCTGGGCTCCTGTTTCCACATTTGTCTCCTTTGAGTCTGAGATTGCCAAAGGCTTTCACAGCTAATGGACCTTACAGCTCCCAAGAGCCATTTAAGGGAGGCACAGAACTCAGTGGTGGTAATTAGTCAAACGAAACGCAGGCCTCTGGAAGCCCACTGGAGCTAAGTGGCAGGAGGATGCAGGGATAGAAGCCTTGCGTCTGTGGCAGGTGTAGGGAACGAGCATGGGCTGCACCTCCCCCAACCTCTCCTGTTCTTCCCCCGCCTCATCCCTACCTCCCACTCCTAACCCGAGAAGGACTTGGTGCTTGGTAGCAGGGTCCCCAGGCAGGCTGTTGTCCAAGGCATCTGAGGGTCTGCAGTAGCACGGCAGAGCTAACCTTGACAAGCTCCTGCCTTCTTTTTCTCTAACAAGTCTTGTATACTGACCCTGATGGAGGCTGGGGTCTGAGCTCAGGTGCCACTTCTTAGTAGGCAGGATAATATCCTGTTCAAAACCTAGGCTTTGACACCAGACCATTGGGTTCAAATGCCAAACCAACTGCTTTTAAAGTTCTTGATCTGGGGCAACTCTATGAACCTTTCTGTGTCTCAGCTTTCTTGTCTGTAAAATTGAGACAATAATACTGACCTTAAAGGGTTATTGTAAGGAGTAGATTGTATAACATCACGTGCACTCCACATAGAGCAGTGCCTGGCACACTATAAGCACGTGCTCAGCAGCAGCTGTTATCATGCCAAGAGCAGGACTGACTTGGACAGAGCTTGAAAACATGTTCTTATGTGGAACTCATGTCCCACCAGTTTCAGGTTTGCTTCTCACTGGCTGGGCACAGAAAGCAAGGCCCCCAGGGAAGCAGCCCCATTTCTATGGGGAAAAATGGCGGCGGACAAGACGGGGAAGAGAATACTGAGCTCATCCTGTTGCTAAATCAGAGGAAGGGAGAAAGGAACCAGCATTTCTTGAGCATCTCTTCTGGATCAGGCATTGCCTGCTTTATCTCTTCAATCCCTCAATACCCTGTTGAAGTGTGAGGAAATAGAATCTCAGAGAGGCTAAGTCACAGAGCAGAGAAGAGGGGTCCAAAATTGGAGCTTGGGGATGTGAGATTTCTAAGTAGCTGTTCTTTCTGTGGCAATTTGCTGTGGTAGATGACCAGGGCCCTATCTCTGGACATGTGACTTTATGTCTGCTATTTAGAAGACCCATGGAAGTTTACTGATCTCTGCTTGACTCAAAGAAGAGGCCTCCAGGTGCCAGAATTTGAGTCATTCTGAGGGCCTTGTCACTGGATTGTCCCTGGCTCTACATGGGGTCCTGGGCTGTTTTGGGAAGGCAGAGCTGGCTTCCATGAAGCGGGGCCTGAATTTGTCTCATTAATGTCATGGGCAGTGATGTCTTCCTAGGGTTCACAGGGAAGCTCCCTCTCTCCATCTGCAGGTGGATGGCGTTCTGTGCTTGGCCAACATCCTGACTGACGACAGCCACTCAGAGGCCACACGGGCTGAGGCTGCGGCTGTGGTGGCCCAGGTCACCTCCCCACACCTGCCTGTCACCCAGCACCTCAGTAGCTTCCTGGAGAGCATGGAGGAGATCGTGACAGCCCTCGTCAGTGAGTCACCCTGGGCAGTGGGACCACTAGAAGAGAGAGCATTGGCATAGTTGTCTTCAGGAATAGTCAGTAAGGCTTTCCCATCTGCCACTCATTGCACCCCAGGTATCTCCTGTATAGATGATCACATTTGCTGAAATCCCACCATTAATGGATCAGAATTAGGCTTTGAAGAGCTCTATTGTCAAGAGTTTCTTATTAAAATGCATGCAACCCTCTGAGAAGCAAGTTGAGTTATTGTCAGTCTGGGATTAGTTGGCATTTCAGAAGGGAGTCCAGGACAAGCCCCAGAAAGGAATGGAGCCTCAAATTTTGAGGTTCAGATACTTGGATAAAGAGACTCTGATAGGCATTTTTCCTAAATTCTCTGTCCTTGTACCCAGTGACTATCACAGTAATGACTGGGGCAAATGGTTTCTCAGAGAGCACTAGCTTACCACAACCTGCTTCCTGAAAATCACACCATTAGTCTCACATCATGGGGCCGTGAAAGTGCTGACTTTTCTAGGTTCACCTGTTCAAACATATGCACTGCTGGCAGGAGAATCCTAGCTCTATATCTAAAATATGCTCTTTTCTTAGCTTTCCTTTGCTAAACTATAGAAACTGAAAGGGCCGGTCTGGATAACAATCCCCAGGGAATTGTTTTGTGAACGACCTCTTTCTTTTAAAAGTTCTGGTGGCGATCTGTGTTTCTATTTCTCTGTCACTCTCTTTATACCTTATTGAAATTTCAGTTCATTTCATTTCATCAGAAAATGTAAGATTAACTCTTGGAGTCACCATAGCAGGGGTGGGAATATCTGAAATAGCAAGAACTTAGGGGCAACATAACACTTGGCTAGGAGTCAGAACCCTGGGTTTGGACTCTGGCTTTTGACTCATCCATTCAAGTGGCTATGGGCAGCAAGCCTGTGCCAGTGCTGTGTGAGATCCCACCACTCACTCCTTACCATGTTGCACTGTAAAACCCACTTCACAATTTTCCTAACATAAACAAGACATTGCAACTTGTTTCTCTCAAGGGTCCTTCTAACTCTAGAATTTGGAGATCTGCAAGTACTTTGCACATAGGAGACATCAGTTATGTTGACTTTATGGCTGATTCTAGTCATGGGGGCAGTAGCACTCACAGGTCAGGCTGGGAGAAATCAATTTGCCAATGTCCACATTTATTCAAAATTGAGAAAACATGGAAGCCCATTGTTGAAAGTCTTGGCTAGAGGGAGCTCAAGAGACCCTATAGTTCCTTGCATACTCTCTAGGTGAAGAAATCTAAGCCTAGAGAGGTTAAATTACTTTCTCAAGGCCACACAACAGAATTAGGACTCACTTATGCCAGGAGTCCCATATTCAACATCCACCAGAGCCCAGTAAGAAACATGAATGTGTTGAAGAGAGCCACATGGAAGAATAAAGGTGTTTGAATCCTGTGTCAAATTGAAAAACCCATGTAGTGTCTAAAGGGATAGTCATTGGTAAATTTCAGTTGATTGTTACCACGTGGGAAAGGCGTAGACTTTTAAAGATAAGACAAAATTTGTAAATTTTATAGAAAATTTCTCAATGTATAAACATTATCAAATAAACAAAGTACATATAGTCCAAGTGACCTTTCACTATTGTCATATATTCATTCTTGCTTCACTTCCCAGGCTGAGTTTCTCCCTGGAGCCAAGGAGTCTTCCATTTATTTCATCCTGATGAAGATGCATTGTAGAGTCCACTCTGAGATTCAGCAGATATATTCCAGGCAGGAAGCCATACTTCTGTTCTTTGGTGGGAAATAGCCCTCCAACTTCTTGCCATTCCCTGGAAACATTTATAAATGAGTCACTGGAATCCTCAATTTAATCTTCCTAACACATCCCAGGTGACTCAGACTGTAGTTCAAATAAATGTGCAGCAAAATTAAAAGGCACTTAGATAGTTGTGTTAATAATTGCTGTGTCAGCAGCAATAGCAACTGAATGAGAATGAGGAGGAGTGTTTGGACCTAGAAGGAATCTTACAGAAAAGTAGGCCACCGAGCTCTGTAGACTCACCCAAAACCTTGGATGTAGGAAGGTGGCCTGGAAGGGACTGGGGACTCCAGTGATTTTCCCAAAATTAGAGGACAGGGCAATCACTAGTTAAAGGGAATCAGAGTTCTTAATATCTCAGCTAATCTGTTGTCCCAGTCCTGATGGCTGGATCAAGAGTTTGAGTTGTTTAATGGTCACACCTGGGCTGTGGGGAGCAACATTGCCCAGAGGCGAGTGTTATCCTCCTGATAGAACTGAAACCCACATCTCTGGAAGCATCACTGGGAATGAGTCAAAGAGGCTGAGAGACCAGAAGCAACCTGGAGTATAAAAGAATGGGGACTTTGGAGTCAGGCAGACCTGGATTTGATTCTAGCCTCAAACAGTTACTTACTGGCCATAAGACCATGGGCAAATCACTTAATACTTGAATCTTCAACTTATTCACTTACAAAACAGTGATAAAAATGAGATTGTAAGGAGAAGTAAAAAAATATGTACAGCAGCGAGTAAACAATAAATGGTAGCTGCTGCTGCTACTACTAGCGTCTCTAAGACTCAGCTAGTTGTAAATGTGGACAATCATTTTCTACTTTGAGGGTATTCAGCATTTAATGGCACAGTGCAAGGCCCACTGCAGGTGTTTGACTAATGTTATTGGTAGAAAAAGGGTTTTACTGCTAAAACTAAAATGTAGGCATCAGAAGGTGCATTCACAGGTAGATGCTAGGAGGTGGCAGTTGCATCAGAACCTGGAGGTATAGACTGTTTGTCTAGAGGCAAGAACTAGGGACCAGGATAAAACATAGCTCAATTTTGTCTCTCGAACTTTCTTTCTTTCCTGAAGCTCTTTTTCTGAAGTATTGTCTTGCCTCTTGTGGTTTTGTGGAGATGTTATCAATAGGAGAGGGCCTGGACCACAGAAGTACCTGGATTGATTTTCAAGTTGGAGCTGAGGGCTAGACATCAGGTCTACTGAAATGGGGGAAGTACCATGGATAGAATCCATCTATTCCTCCTCCTGAGATGGGTGTCCATTCCAGGTTCTGTAGCTCATGAGGGATGTGTCAGGTGGTGGAAGGATGAGGTCACTCTGCTCCTTAAAGGCCCTTAGTACAATTACAGATGGTAAGTGGGGGAATTTGGTTAGGGCTGAGCTAGGACCACTAGGAATAGAGATAAAGAGCCTTACATTCAGGAGCTTGGTATAGGACTTTCTTGCTGCCAGATTACCCTTATCCTGGGACCAAAAGGAAGCACCAAGGCTCTGTTGATGGCAGCTGGAGGGGTATAGTCTCTCTGTTTTACCTTTAATCTCTTCCTTAAGGCAAGGTTAGCAGCAGGCTAGTGTGCATTACTGGAGAAACAAAGGGACTGGAAGCTCCTTCCCACCTCATGGGCTTTGTATTTCTTTTTCCTTTGGTCTAGAATATTCTGTTTCTCCAAGTGTTTTTATGACTGGCCCCTTTCTTCCTTTAAGGTCTCAGCTGTAAAGTCATATTCTTAGGGACACCTTTTGTTGTGCATCTCAGTGAGCCACTAGATATGCTGTCTCAGTATTTCTTTGTTTTCTCCCTCATATTTATCAGACTTTGTAATTGTGCATAGTAATTTTTTTCTTTTTTTTTTTTGAGACGGAGTTTTGCTCTTGTTACCCAGGCTGGAGTGCAATGGTGCGATCTCGGCTCACCGCAACCTCCGCCTCCTGGGTTCAGGCAATTCTCCTGCCTCAGCCTCCTGAGTAGCTGGGATAGTAATTTTTTAAAAGTTCATTTTCTTGCCCACTAGTAGAGTGTGAGCTCAACAAGGTCAAGGACCTGACTGTTTTGTTCACTATGCCATCCCAATACCCCATTGACACCTGGCACATAGTGTTCATTCAATAAATACTTATTGGCTGAAGGAGTGAGTAGAGTTACATGTCATGTTTTAAATCCCAGCTTGGTCACCTGTATAGACAGATAATGTTCCATCTGTAGTAACCACTTTCCTCATCTGCAAAATGGGTATTATAACACCTGCTCTAAAGATCTCCCAGAGCTACTGTGGGAACAAAATGAGACAACTGATATGAAAACACTTGGCATGGAAGTTATTTTCTTTCTCTTCACCATCCAGAACTATGCCAAGAGGCCTCATCAGGGGAAGTCTTCCTGCTGGCCTCTGCGGCCCTTGCCAATATCACCTTCTTTGACACAATGGCCTGTGAGATGCTCCTGCAGCTGAACGCCATCCGTGTCCTCCTGGAAGCCTGCAGTGACAAGCAGAGAGTGGACACGCCTTACACTCGAGACCAGGTAAGATGCCCAGAAGGCACCAAGCCCAGGGCCTATAGCTGTGGAGACAGAGGTTAGGAGGCCAGCACTTAGTTTCTGAGGCAGGGGAGAGGACATGGGAGTCCTGTTAATTTTGCATGCTGTAGGACCGTAAATATTCTCCATGTCTCTCATTGACCTTGAAGCCTCTTTGTGAGACCTCCTATCCCTTTTGCTCATCCCATTGTGAGCTTTCCATGCTGCAGGAAGGTAAAGGAATATGTTTTCCATGTCTCTCATCAACCTTGAAGCCTGTCTATGAGATTTCCTATCTGCTTTGCCCATCCCAACCACTACAGGGCCTTCTTTAATCTCTTCAGATTGCCTGTTCTTGGAGGCAGAAAGACCCACAGAAAGTGCCTAGACCTCCTCTAAAGTTCTGTGTCCTGGTCATGTTGGTGCCCATCTGACACTGAACCCTGTAGCAAACCGCTTTCCCCTCTACCTTCATGAGAAACAGAGGCTTGGAGCAGAAACTTAATTTTGGGCTTCAGCCCTTACATCAGTCATAATTTTCTTTCTATATTTGAACTCCGTGAAAGATTTTCTTTGGTAGAAAAGGGGTTTTACTACTAAAAGTGTTTGAAAACATAGAATGAGGGGGTTTTAAAGGCTTTTTGAAGTCTGATGTTCTAGAATTTTATCCTGTTTCACCTCTGGCCCCCAATAAGGAGTGGGGGTGGTAGATTAGGTGGGCTTTAGGTCTCTGTGAATTCCTCCCAGTACCTGAGCTCTAAGTTAGATGATCCTTTCTCCCCCAACTCAGCTTATTCCTGTCTGCATTTTAGCTCCCACACCATCGCCTCTTCCACCCTTATCTCTTAACTGGAGTTGCTTTGGTTTCTGTCCCATGCCAGCAGCTCCAGGAAGGCCTTTCCTGATGGTTTCGGCTCTCTGGAGTTGCCTCCTTTTCTTAGCATTCATACCTCACAATGCAGTGTTGACTTATCTAATGACATTTATTCCTCTTAATTATTTCATGTGATTTTCCTTCTCTGAGGGCATGATCTATGGTCGGTGCTTCCCTAGGATTTTTTAAGGCCTCTAGCCTAGAGCTGGTGCCCTTGGTGAAGTTCCCCAAACTTTGTCAGTTATTTCTTATCCTTAGAATCACCTGTGAAAGGGCAGCTAATCATAGAAGCTCGTATTCGGAGAGAATTTTCTAATGTCTAAGCATTTGCATATGAGAGTTCTAATGATACTGTGACACTGGTGATATTTGCCCCATTTTATAGATAAGAATATTCTGGCTCAAGAAGATATCCCCAAAATTAAATGGTTGGCAGGCAGCTACCCAGAATTTAAATCAGGATTAAATTTAAATTCTTAGACCTTGATCTTTGACTCTCATCTGCTGTTGTCTTTGAAGAAAGGAGGTCATACAGCTGTTGAACCACAGACTGAGTGTTGGCCCTGCCTGGGCCATTTATCAATTGAGTGACACTGATCAAGTTAAAGGCACCTGGGTGTTAGTTTTCCATCTATTAATTGGGACATTAATGTCTATGTTGCAGGGTTATTGTGAAGGTAAGTGTAATAAGATATGCAAAAACCTAATATAAGGTTTAGCCCCTACTAAGTTCATAATAAATGGCGAATATCATTATTTTTTAAACCTGATGATCCAAGGAAGAGCATGAGTAGTGTGTTATCCAAAATCCTCAACTTGGCCTTCCAAACTGTATGATATGTATGATTCCAGACTTCCTTTCCAGTGTAATCTTTTACTTCTAGGAGTTGGATAAGTCCCTGGAGAGATAAGGTATTACAGTAACAAATAAGAGTGGTGGCCCCCTGGTTGGCCATTGGCCTGACTGGCTCCTGAGGGGGACATGCCCCGTGTCTACTGTAGACATATCCTTGGTAGTGGGGAGGGAGACAGGAGGGCCCACCCCTTGTGATCCTCCTTACTCATGCTCCTGTTGTCTTCAGCTAGGTACCTCCAGTTGCTGGGTCTCTCATCTACCTTACATAATTTTAGATCCCTTTACCTTCAAGCGCCTCTCCTGTGGCTGACTCCAGTCATTTCATACAAGATTCAGTAGTGAGTCAATAAGACCAGGAATTTTGGAGTCAGACAACCTGAATTTGAAGATTTTTTGCTATTAATAATCATGTTACTTTGGGCAATTAACTTTGAGTCTTACTTTGTTAATCTGTAAAATGGAAACAAATAATACATATTTTACAAAGTTGAAATAAGAATTAAATAAGTTAATAAATATAAACTCTTGGTACAGACTCTGACACATAGAAACTATTAATTCAATGGAAGCCACTATCAATGTTATTATGATTGGCCTTTGAATGTGTGGCACACAGCACTGAACGGGAACCTCCAGAGAGGAGTTCCCTCATCTGTAAAAGAGTCATGGCTTCTTCCATTTTGGATGTCCTGTGACTCTATGTGTAGAAGCCCCCTTCTCATCACAAGGAGTGACTGGCCCACTCTTAAAGCCTCACTGAGTCCTAG